CGCGCCGAGTGCGCCAGGTGCGCCACGTGGGCCACGCGCGCCATGTGCGCCAGGTGCGCCAGGCGCGCCACGTGCGCCAGGTGCGCCAAGTGCGCCAGGTGCGCCACGTGCGCCAGGCGCGCCAGGTGCGCCAGGCGCGCCAGGTGCGCCAAGCGCGCCGAGTGCGCCAAGTGCGCCAGCCGCGCCTACCGCGCCTAGTGCGCCACGAACGCCAGGTGCGCCAGGTGCGCCACGTGCGCAAAGTAGGCCAAGTGCGCCACGTGCGCCAGGCGCGGCAGGTGCGCAAGGTGCGCCAGGCGCGCCAGGTGCGCCAGGCGCGCCAGGTGCGCCAGGTGCGCCGCGTGCGCCACGTGCGCCAGGCGCGCCACGTGCGCCAGGTGCGCCACGTGCGCCAGGTGCGCCAGGTGCGCCAAGTGCGCCAGGTGCGCAAGGTGCGCCAGGTGCGCCAGGTGCGCCAGGTGCGCCAGGTGCGCCAGGTGCGCCAGGTGCGCCAGGTGTGCCAGGTGCGTCAAGCGCGCCAGGTGCGCCACGCGCGCCAGGCGCGCCAGGCGCGCCATGCGCGCCAGGCTGTCCAGGCGCGCCAGGTGCGCCCAGTGTGCCAAGCGCGCCAGGTTCGCCAGGCGCGCCAGGTGCGCCAGCCGCGCCTAGTGCGCCAAGTGCGCCAGGTCCGCCAGGTGCGCCAGGTGCGCCAGCTGCGCCAGATGCGCCACGTGCGCCCGGCGCGCCAGGTGCGCCAGGCGCGCCAGGCGCGCCAGGTGCGCCAGGTGGGCCACGCGCGCCAGGCGCGCCAGGTGCGCCAGTCGCACCAGGTGCGCCAGGTGCGCCAGGAGCGCCAGGTGCGCCAGGTGCGCCAGCCGCGCCAGCCGCGCCAGCCGCGCCAGACACGCCAAGTGCGCCAGGTGCGCCAGGTGCGCCATGTGCGCGAGGTGCGCCATGCGCGCAAGGTGCGCCAGGCGCGCCAGGTGCGCCAGGTGCGCCAGGTGCGCCAGGTGCGCCAGGTGCGCCAAGTGCGCCAGGTTCGCCATGCGCGCCAAGTGCGCCAGGCGCGCCAGCTGCGCCAGGTGCCCCATGCGCGCCAGATACGCCAGGCGCGCCAGGTGCGCAAGGTGCGCCAGGTGCGCCAGGCGCGCCAGGTGCGCCAGGTGCGCCAGGTGCGCCTAGTGCGCCAGGTAGGTGCGCCAGGTGCCCCAGGCGCGCCAGGTGCGCCACACACGCCAGGCGCGCCAGCGGCTGGGTTACTGGTTGCTGGTTGCTGGTTGCTGGGGGGGGCGGGTTGTTAGGTGCAGTGTCAATCATCAACAACAACAACAACAACAACAACAACAACAACAACAACAACAACAACAACAACAACAACAACAACAACAACAACAACAACAACAGCAACAACAACAACAACAACAACAACAACAACAACAACAACCACCACCACCACCACCACCACCACCACCACCACAACAACAACAACAACAACAACAATCACAACAACAACAACAACAACAACAACAGCATCAGCAACAGCAACAACAACAAGAACAGCAGCAGCAGCAGCAACAACAGCAACAGCAACAGCATCAGCAGCAGCAGCAACAACAACGAAAACACCACCAGAACAGCAGCAGCAGCAAATGAAGCAGCAGGAGCAACAACGACAACAGCAGCAGCAACAACCACGACAACGACAACAGCAGCAACAACAACCATAACAACAACAGCAAAAAACGCAACAGCAGCAGAAGCCACAACCACCACCAACAACAACAACGACAGCAGCAGCAGCAGCAGCAACCGCAACAACCACAGCAACAATAATAACAGCATCAAAAGGAACAACAACAGCCGCAGCAGAAACCACAACAACAACATCTGCAGCAGCAGCAGCAACAGCAGCAACAGCAACAGCAACAGCAACAACAGCAGTAGCAGCAGCAAACACCATAGCAGCCGCAACAACAACAGCAAAAGCAGCAACAACAACAACAAAAATGACAACAACAACAACAACAACAACAACAACAACAACAACAACAACAACAACAACAACAATTACTAGCACGTGGGGACACTCCGTTCTCACCAGTGCCAGGGTTTTCATAGGAGGCGGGCAATACCCCCACTTTGTGGGGGGGCCGGTTCAAGCTCTACCAAATTTCCAAACGACTCTTCGCCACCACCCACACCCAGCTTCCCGCCCTATGACGTTCGGACACTTCACTTCGTGGCATGCGGACGACCGTGGCTACTATTCAGGGCCCCGCGGCCGACGACGACGGCGTGCGCGCGCGAAGAAAAAACGAATGTGTCCCGCATGGTATTATTTGACAAGGATGATGGCCCTGGCAGGTGCGCAACCGTTATTGCAGGAAGTTCGAAAAAGTGGCTCGCAAAAGCCCGTTTGACAGAAATGTTTAAAAAGTGCTGGGTTTCCTACAAATCCGCAAGAGCGCGCGGGATGAAATGTTGACCCTTTTTTTTTGAAAAAAACATTGTTTTTTTTATGTTTTTATGTTAAAATCGCTACGAACACTAAGGTTTTGGAAGGATTTCGTCTTGCGCGCGCGAATGTCCACTTTACCTTGTTTTTTGCAAGGGATTCTTGAAGTTTGGTTATGTTAGAACAAGAAATGTCCACTTTAGCTTATTTTTTGCAAGGGAAAGCGGGCGTCAACAAAACAACCGGATCTGGTACACATCGTTTTGCCTGAGGCTTCCTCACGAAAATGATGAAAACGTGGCTGCGGCCTAGGCGCGGCGGGGGGGCCATGCACCAGGGGTCCCAACAATAATTATTCTTTAGAAGTAATAATGTTCAACAACAACAACAACAACAACAACAACAACAACAATCATTTTACCCGAACGCGTGGTGTTCTCCCCAGTGCCAGGGTTTTCATACGACACCAGGCAATACCCCCACTTCGTGGGGGGGCATTACAAGCTCTACCAAATATCCAAACGACTCTTCGCGACCACCCAAACCCAGCTTCCCGCCCTATGACGTTGGGACACTTCACTTCGTGGCGTGCGGACGACCGTGGCTACTACACTGGCGTGGGGTACACACCCACAGAACTTGGTCACTTATTCGGGGCGCGCATGTGCCCAGCATGGTGCAATTGTGGCATACAATACATAATACAGAGAGACAGACAGAGAGCAGACAGAGAGAGAGACAGAGAGAGCGGAGTTGGTCACATTTTTGGGTCAAGTTCCTGGGATGATGGGAAACCATTGGTTTTTTTAGGATTCGGACAGCGCGCGCGGGTGGAAATTTTGAAAAGTCGTGCAGGTGTTTTTCGAGGACCTACGGTGCGATTCGTGTGATTTTATGATGCGCGGTGCTAAAATTCTTAAAAACCCAATGGTTTTTGGAGATTTCGGCGTGCGCGCGCGAAGAAAAAACGAATGTGTCCCGCATGGTATTATTTGACAGGGATGATGGCCCTGGCAGGTGCGCAACCGTTGTCGCAGAAGTTCGAAAAAGTTGCTCGCAAAAGCCCGTTTGACAGAAATGTTTAAAAAGTGTTGGGTTTCCTACGAATCCGCAAGAGCGCGCGGGATGAGATTTTGACATTTTTTTGTTGAAAAACCATTGGTTTTTTGATGTTTTTATGTTAAAATCGCTCCGAACACTAAGCTTTTGGAAGGATTTCGTCTTGCGCGCGCGAATGTCCACTTTACCTTATTTTTTGCAAGGGATTCTTGAAATTTGATTATATTAGAACAAGAAATGTCATTTTATAGTGTTTTTTGCAAGGGAAAACGGATTACAACAAAACAACCGGATCTTGATCACCTCGAATTACCTGAGGCTTCCTCACGAAAATGATGAAAACGTGGCTGCGGCCTAGGCGCGGCGGGGGGGGCGCGCACCAGGGGGCCCAACAATAATTATTCTTTAGAATTAATAATGTTCAACAACAACAACAACAACAACAACAACAACAACAACACTAGCAGCAACAACAACAACAACCCCAACAACAACAGCAGTAGAAGCAGCAACATCAATAACAGCAGCAGCAACAATCAAAACAACAACAGCAGCAGCAACAACAACCACCTCAACAACAACCTCAACAACTACAACGACGACGACGACGGCAACAACAACAGCAGCAGCAACAGCAGCAGCAACAACAACGACGACAACCACAACAACAGCAGCAGCAGCAACAAACACCACAACAACAACAACAACAACGGCAGCAGCAACCACCACAACAACAGTAGCAGCGACTACAACAACCAACAATAACAACAGCAACAGCAGCAGCAACAACCACCACCACCACAACAACAGCAACCGCAACAACAACCACAACAACACCCTCAGTTACAACAATAAGTTTAAGACTGTTCGCTCTGATCTACTCGCATGCCATTCAACACATATATCCAAAACCCCCGATGCCCGCCTTCTTCGTCTTCGATCGATCGTACCACACTTGGGCGTATATCTTTCTTACCTGCAACGTGTATTTCGTGCAGCCAATAAGGCAGGGGAAGAGAGGACGGATGGAAGGAAGGGACAAGGGGAGGGAGGAGGATGGAGCACGAGAGAGAGTAGCAGGAGGGGGGCTAGGAGCAGAAAACAAGTAGAACCAGACGGGCAGATCGGGCGGATAGGCCCTAACGGGCGGGTCGGGAAGGCGGGCCCAGGCGGCCAGGTCGAGCATGCGGATTGCTGAAGCATGCGTCCTGAATGAATCGCGAAGAAGTCTCGAGCGATAGCGCGACTCCCAAATAAATCGTGAGACGCTTCGGCAGTCCCCCGAAGCGCCTGAGCGTGAGCCTACCTTTCAAAGAAAATGCAGCCGGCGCCAAGGCGAGAGCGCTAGGGCGGATCAAGGGTGTCCAACAATAACAACCGTGTCGCAATTAAGATCAAGATAATGAGAGGGGAAAGTGAAATGGGAGCGAGAAGAAAGAGGCGAGGAAGAATACGATGCCTATGTACAGCGGCTTGATGCCGCAGTGGTCGCGGGCGGCGAGCATCTTGGCCCCGTCGCCGTCCTGCAGCACAAACGCAAACATTCCTGCAGGGCTGGGAGGTGCTCTTCCCCCCCTGCTCCCCTTCCCACCACAGCCCCTCCTCCTCCTCTTCCTGCTGCGCATCCACTCGAAGTCACCCCCCGCCCATCCCCCTCCCCCATGTCCCACATCCTCTGACACATCCTCGTTTACTGAGCACCGCATCACGGGTGTGATGCTTGCTTTGCTTCACCCCCTCCTCCTGCTGCACCGCAT